GCGACGCCTACCTTCACAACCGCCCCTCCAGGCTCCCCTCTGCTCTCCACGTACTGCCATGTGTGTCCTGCCATATTCGCCTGTGAGTTCCTGTCGGCCCCAAGGGCTGTTCCAATGCCCCTCCTTACGAAGCTCCATGGCCTCCAGGTGTGGACCAGGGAAGTCTCTGGCTCTGCCTTCTGGGGAGGCCCCCACTCTGACTTTGCATGTGGAAGTGCCTGCAAGCAGCCTCTCCCACCCCAAACCCCATCTCTTAGGCCCAGGGCTCTCCTCTTTGTGACCAAGGTTACAGTGCACCTCACCTGGGACAGTGGCCCAGGGCTCCCCTCTTTGGGGCCGAGGTGACAATGGGCCTTACCCAGGGCTGTGCTCCGTCAAGCTACTGTTACGTCATGATCTCCTGCACCTGTGACAAGAGGTGTGAGGGAAGGCACACCCATATGTCCTTGTTGGTGACAAGTGTGCGCTGTGGGCTTTGACCACATCGATGGGGCCATCACCATTTTCTCATCAGAAAGAGAGGATGGAACCAGGTGTGTGGCTCAGGTCCCAGCCGCAGGAGGCCAGGGGCCCCTGGAATCGAGCCCACTGCTATTTCTGCAGCAAACTCGGGACTGTCCAAAGGCGATACATAAAGGCCACACAGAGACTTAGGGCCCCGGGTTGCCAAACGGTTTGTGCTCAACGGCTGACCTAAAGGCTGGTGGTTCAAACCCAGCCAGCAGCCCCGCAGAAGGCCTGGTGAGGAAGAGCCAAGGAGCGATGGAGCTCATTCCTGTCTGCAGCACGGGCTGCGGGGGACGGAGCCGACGCATCCACAGGGGGTTGGTGTGCGCACAGGACGCCTCCGGTCCCAGCAGGTCGGTTCTGACTCCTGGAGCCCCCACAGGTGTCTGAGCAGAGCTGAGCCCCGCAGAGATTTCAGGGACAGAGTTTCCTGGAACTAGATCCGCAGGCCCTTCTTCGGAGGAGCCTCTGGGCTCAAAGCACCCACACAGCTGCCACCTGCAAACCCAGGGGGGCCTCCGAGCAAAGGCCTGGCAATCCGCTGCTGGTAAATCAGGCACTAATAGCCCCAAGGGGCAACGCTCCTCTCTAACACACACGGGGTCACCTGGGGTCCGAAAGCACCTGGTTTATTTACAGAGAGCTCATGGTGAGCCATCCAGGGCAGGCTCCGCCGCCAGGTTAGAGTGACACGGATCCAGAAAGCAGGTTTCCATGTAAAAGTGTGTTTGACTCCTGACTCTGGCACAGGGTTGAATGGGCAGCCTCCCTTAAGCGGGTGCACTCGTCCCTGCACCTCCACCAAGCTGGGCCATCTTTTTCACCCCTCTATCCCGTGACGGGACCCCTGGCCCAGAGGCTTAGCCTCTCGGCCCCGTCAGGTCTTTAGTGAGTGATGCTTGAATGCAGAGTTTTCTAACTCCAAGGCACACTGGTTTATGGTAATCCCAACCCCAAAGCCATGGACCCTGCAGACTTTTCAGTCAAACATGGTGCCACATCTCTCTCTGGACATAGATCTGTGGGTACAGACAGCATTTAAAATGGATGTGTTGGAGAGTAAGTTCTGGTGACAGCTGTTGCTTGTCAGTGACATGGAGGACGTGGGAGGGTGTCTCCTTGGCAGGAAGAACATGGCTTGGAGCTCTAGAGCCAGCCCTCCAGCCTCCGCCTCTCCTCAGGGCCCAGGCAGGCAGGTGGCACTGGGCTGCTCCCCCTCCTGTCACATCCCTGACGGGACTCCCACCGTGGCGGGTGGCCGTGTGTCACCTCCTGCCCGTGTGTGAGTCCTGAGCCTGGGTGAGGACTGCAGCCCACCTATCCGCATTCTCTTCAGCACCTTGCACCTGACGGCAGTGTCCCTTACCTGGCCGCACCTGTAGCATCCTCTCCTGATGGTCTAGAAGCTGGAGCAGTGGGAAGCTGGACCGAGAGGGCGGAGCGGTCATTCTGAGACCTCATCCTCTGGGCACAG